GCAGCAGCAGCAGCAGCAGTTTACAAAAGTAACAATAGTGCACAAAAAGGGATGAATCCATATCTCATCCAAAGAACATGACGATCCGAAAGTCAACACACCTCGCCCACGTCCGACAATTTCATCTACGATCGACAAGAGAACAGAGAGATAAAATATTTTTATAAACCAAAAAAACCAACAAAACGACAATAATAAAATCTACAATCCACTGGAATTCTAAGTATCGATTACTGTTGCTGTCTGTTGGATTCTGTCTACGTGCCTAATGAGAAGAAACAGGACAACCCTCCCAATCGATCTCAGTTTTGGTTTATATAATGATAGCAACTACAGCCAATGCAACAAGATAGTAGATAGTAATGAGATCGATCCCCAGCCTCGTCGGGTAGGACGTGATCACCCTTGGGAAGGCACATTACCCTACTTTACCCAGTTCACTCAGCCACGAATGTGCATTAAAATTTGGTAATCAATAGAGACAAACTATATAATCAATTGCATTGTGTACCCCCTCTCACACCCACCCCCTTTTTCATTATTACGTTTGCTATTCTCTTGTAAAACCTCTTATCTTCGGCACTTATAAGACCAACTTATGTTGTAAGTGCCGTAAAAACTCTTACTAAAATCTGTATGTTATGTACCTAAAAGGCGACAATTTCTGTATATTATCTCGAAGGGAGAGAAGTGATCATTTTAGATCAATAGAATGGACAGAGATAGACAAAGGGGGTTGTTGCAAAGTCGTGGATGTCTCTGGGGTGTTGCAGGACTAAGGATAACTATTAGTACTTTATTTATTTACAACGTGTTCCTTTTCTAATAAAACATAGCTGTTCTCGTATGATTTTAAAACTACAACCCAGGAACCCACCTTGCAAAACGTGAACTTAACCCCTAGTACGCAAGGCATTCTTTCTTTCATCTGGCCAGATCTTTGCCCATTTTTTTCACATTTCTAGTTTCCTTTCTTTCTCTAAAGTTTTTAAAATAATATCTAGTATCATTATTTACTATACGAGAATGGGCCCCTGAATTTGATCATCTCCTATTAGCTCTGAGAAAACATACGAGTACATGTATATGTTTCATGAAGGGTACAGCGAAGTACTGAACATACGAGTAGCTTCATTTGTAAGATGAAGCTTACTGTAAAGTACTGAACTTGTATGGAGAATGGTAGTGATCCTTTAGCATAAAATAAACTACATGTATCTCCAACAAAAGCGAGGCAAATGAGTTGAGGGAGGCTTTGAAAATTACGTACACAATCAAAGTCTAACAACGCTCTGCTGGGGATTCGACCAGGGTCATCAACACAAACTCTGCCAAGGTATCAAGTAAGCAGTTTCAGTTTGTGAACAGGTCGTTTTATTTGTTTTGTTTTAGCAAGAGTCTTACGACAATTGTAACACAATTAAGTCACTAAATGCAGAAGGTTATGAGTGTTACAAAAGAGTAACAAATACAGAAATAAACCTAAAGAGGAGGGGACAATAACCATAGATGTTTGATAGGAAAGGAGCAAGCAAACCACACCAGAGCACCCGCCAGCCATCCACAACAGGGCTTTGAGGAGTCGGTGTCGACCATTCCACTTTCCCCTCTCATCTTTATGGCGACGCCTAAGCAGGATGGGGATGAAGACGCATAAAACCTTTCTCCATCCTGTCTCCTGCCGAACGGCTTTGTTGGGTGTCATTTCAAAGACGTCACGCTGTCATTTTACTCCAATCGAATGCTTGGGGGTATGGCAGGAAATGCCTTATGAAAATGATTTACGCCCTGTGGATTTCAGATTTCAGACTATAGGATAGGTTGGCTCTGTCCAGCAGGGAATAAAGTGAAACTTTTTTGGGAGGGGTGGAAGCGGGGTTGGGGTGGTA